ACGTGTGCGCTTTTAAAGACCGTCCTGTGTGATTGGTAGCTAGTTATTTTTAAAAATGTAAACCGTGGAACAGAGAAACGTCTCGCATAGAAAAATTGAATAGATTCTCTGGACTCTCTCTTTCTCCTTTAAAAGAACTATCTTTCTTGAAAGAATCCAAAATCATTTTCAATTTCTAACATTGTTTTTGTAAAAAAAGTTGTGATATGTAACATGCAGATACGTTTCACAGTCTCATTGTCTCTGGATAAAGAAAAAACTTTTGCGACAATGGAGACGCGCTGTGCAATGGGCATATTTTGTGCGAAAACTAATAACAAAAAGGAAGCTTGCATACATGATGTAATACTCACCAGATAAAACCCAGTTTATGTGTGCCAGCTCTGTCTTAATATAAATCTGAATTTTTCTGCAGATCTTGCTCGTGGTTCTTATTTTCATCGTCCTCAATCTCGTCACGTTTTTCTTTGTTAGCGTTCATCTGGATGGCTGGGCGCAAGGACTAGCTCGTCTTTTCATTCCCGAGGTATGTAACCTACAGTAAAATTTAAATTGATTTATTCACATCAGCTTGCTCAAAGCACGTGTGGTCCTACGCTTTTAGGCACTCTTTAGAGACTGTAATGAGCAGTTCTGTGTGGGCTTTTAAAGTAAATCACGCCCTGGTGTTGGCTGTTTCCGCATCGCCAAGAATGCTTTCATCTTAGAAGACATGTACTTACAGTTCCTAGTTTTTTAGACGCGCGGCATAATAATTTCCATGTGGAGGATTAGTGAACCGTGATTGGTCAACAGAGTTAGCTTTGGGAATACCCGTGTGTCTTCCGAAATTTTAATCGCTGTCAATCATGAGAAGTAAATCCCAATGATTTTGGTCAGACCGTCACTGGCTTTTTTGAGGGTCTGGATGGGGTTTAACTAGCTGGGAATTGGACAAAATTTTAACTGGTTAGCTGAGAAATGGAGCTAAAGGGGTTTTCAACTGAGTGTCGTAAAACCAAAACCAAACCAATTAATTTCTAATTTGATTACTCAGCCAATCTCAAACTCTAATAAAACCAACACCAAAACCAAAGTAATTGCCTGATTACTTTCGACACTGAATTGAAAACCACTCTGACACGCTTCCGTTTTGAACTGATAGCTCAACTGCTCGTTCCCAGGGTCTCTCATCTTTCCGCCCTAGCCCTACCCTATTTTAAACTAGTACATATGTTATTTCACAGTGGGAAAGGCTCGAAGATCCCGTCGTATGGATGGACGCCGCAGGACAAATTTTCTACTCTTTAGGGGTAGGGTTCGGAAGTTTAACCCTCTTTTCCAGTGGAAACCCATCCAAGAACAACTGTTATATGGACGCGATCATGGTTGCACTGGGGAACTGCGCAACCTCTCTGTGGGCCAGCATAATCATGTTTTCATTCTTTGGTTTCAAGGCTAATTACAAAGTTAACAAATGTGATCTGGATAGGTTAGCGGCGCTTGCCGGTAACAGCTCCATAACTAACGCGACGAAAACAATATCGTGTAGTAGGCGAGAAATATTTGACCAAGTAAGTGTATACATAACAGAGTGACCTTATCTTTAAGCCAAGTAGGGCTTTCTAATATCCAATCTTAACTTGTACCAATAATCACTAGCATTCTATAACAGTGAGGAAAATAGGCAGACAAGGAGACTTTTCCGTAATATGAATTTTTACAGCTTTATGGCCTGAATGTCGGTAGGGTGACTGATAGATTTAGTCATTTAGGCCGTGCTGTTTACGCATAGCCTGGGGCTCTAGCCTTGACTAGGTACTCAGTAGACAACAAGCAGACCTTCTTTCTATTTATAGATTGACGAAACGAGGCGTATACGCCCTTTCTCCTCTCATTCTTTGCCACTTAATTTTCGATGAACTAAAGGAAACGCTATACTGCTTGTAGCCTTGGTATTTACGGTTTATTTCTTTGATATTTTCCTCCGGCGCCGCAAGTTAGTCGTGTTTGTCTCTGGTTTGGGTTTTTTCTCACCGTTCCTTCGAGGTTACAGGCATTACATCGACGGCTGGGTCATCTTGTCCTTTAAAACCTGACTTCGAGACTTTGATAACTGAAATAAGCTGATATCATCTAAGAACAACGGCAGATACCAATAGTTCTAGGCGGTATTTGGCCTGAATTTTAATACTTTATCGGTGTGATAATATTGTATGCCTATTTTTGATTTAACCTACGATTCCGTTTTTCCTTAAATGTTTTCAACCCTGGGATTCAACAACAAAGATTGGTTGGAGTGAATTAAAGTCTAATATTGCTGTCTGTGCTTCCGTTTCAGCTTCCTCCAGGAGTATCTCTCGGGTTTGCGGGATTAAGCGAAGTATTTACCGAGATGACTAGCCTTTATCCATCACTGTGGTCTTGTCTCTTCTACCTACTTCTCTTTCTGCTCGCCTCCTCGAGCATGCTGGGAATGATAGAGATAGTTGTTACAACTTGCAAAGAAATGAAACTTTTTTCAAGAACTTGGAGAAACGAAGTGATTTGTGGTAAGCCCAATTGCACTGCACGATGTAAATGTTATTTTTAATACTTTAGATTGTATCCTGAGGGTGGGAGAGGGGGGAGCGGGGCATTAGGAATCAGCAGGGCACTGATGATGCGCGCCATTTATTTCGCTGCGACGGCTGGCAAATGTTGAAGTGGTTATTTATCACCTTGAAGCGGTAAACAGTAAGTTTTCGCTTTCAAGAAAAAATATTTTGTACATATGGAACCCGAAGAGTTTTCCTAACTTCTTATACAATAAAAGAGGATTTGTCAAAATTGCGCTCTGTTATTGATTTTACTAAGCAGCATCAGATTATGATAAGCACTACAGAATACCCAAATTTCAGAGCCAGTGACAAGTTCACGCAGTAGCATGTTTCAGTAACGACAAAGTACACAAGAAAAGTTCGCAATCTTTTAAGACGTACTTACATGGGCACATCCTGTCAGTCGATTTAAACTCCATGAGGCAAATTAGCTTTTCGCTAATTAATTTACGTTTTTTCCCCTTTCTTTCCCTTCTTGCAGGCATATTCTGCCTAGTAATGTGTATAAGTAACCTGTTATTCGTGCAGTCAACCGGTTTTTACCTACTGGAGATTATCAGCAGCGCCAGTTCTATTCCTCTTCTCCTCACTGGATTGGCGGAGTGTATAGGCGTGGCTTTTGTCTATGGAATGGACAAGTAAGTGAATCAGTTGAGCGACTATAGCACCAAGGATAGGAAGGAGACTGGTGCTGGTGCTAATGTACAGAATTATGAGCTTGACTGTGGAATTAAAATAGAATGCAATGAAACGTATTCGGAGGGCTCCACTGAAAACCGTCTTTGGCGAGTTGGATTCCCTCACTAAATATTATTATTATCATCATCATCATCATCATCATTATTATTATTATTATTATTATTATTATTATTATTATTATAAACGTATTCAAGTCCGGTGCCGACCCCAATATTCATCGTGCGCTCGAGTGGCGTCAACGGATACACTGAATGCACGGTTTGATCTTTCTTCTAAAATCGTCGGTACTTAGAATTTGTTGCAAAGTTGGTCCAGCAATTCACTGGTACCCAGTTATACACCCAACAAGGAAAGAAGCGCTGCGACGGCCTCCACATTTATTTAGTCTAGTAGCGTCTACGCCACTATATACGCATTGCGTGCCTATGACTATTAAAAAAAAAAAGGAAAATATCTGTTTTATGCCAGTGTAAAATTGACCAAAACACGGCTTCACCATAAATGGACATTGAAAGTTAGAGTTTGTTAAAACTCTGGTATTTTCATTTCGTATCTTGAAAAACTATAACTGAATAGCAAAATTTCTTACGTCATCTTGCAGGTTTTCGAAAGATCTTTGTGCGATGACAGGAGAGCAAGTGAACAGCAGGTGGAAGGTTTGCTGGAAGTTTGTTTCACCGCTGATCATACTCAGCGTTATAATTGGAGGAATTGTGCAAATGATCAGACAGATAGCTCGAGGAGAGTTCTCCTACACAGCCTGGGACAGAGATGAGGTAAATCAGAACAGAGAAGCGATTTGGATCAGTGTGGTTTTGTGATCACTGTCCTTTGTAGTGTGCCTGAAAGTTGGATGATAAATCACTTGCTAGACATTTTATCATGCAATACAGCTGTTTTTTTTTACGCGTTATTTGTATCTTGACACACCTGTTAAATACCGCAAGACTGGGGTAATAATTCACAGCAATACTACACACTGAAATGAGTTATTAGAATAAATAATTTCTCAGTTACTTCGCGCGCTTTTATTGGTCATTTTAACGGGCCGCTAAAATTTAAATTGTTATTGACTTTCATAGCAAGTTAAAGATTGTGAATTAAAATGTGCTAACCACTTAATTTCGAATTGACTCGTTTACTTTCGACTCGGTCGAAATCCGTCTCACACACAGTAGATATATATAATAAATATATCACTGATCTCGTTTTTCCAGTCCGTTCTGTAAGTTTGGGATCCTCGTTTTTCTTCTTAGCTACGATTCATGGTCCGCGCGCTTCGCGCTTGTGCCGTTAATCGAAGGGGAAAAAGCTCGGTCCGTAACTTACAATCCGGACCTCGGACTCGGTGAATAAGAGATATATGTTTCTCTTTTCAGGCAAAAGTGAAGTACCCACCTTATCCTCCATGGGCGTACGTAATCTACATGGCGTTTGCTCTTATTCCTTCAATATGCATTATTTATCCACCGCTTCATGACTGTTTCACGCGCCGCAGAGCGTAGCCTGAGACGAGAGAGAATTTTAGTGATAGCGGCTTTTCTGGCATCTCATCATGCGAGCTGGGCTGTATTGTCGGACGATCAAGGTCTTATAACATTACCCCTATTAGTAGTCCATGCGTTAATGGTCATGTGAACAGGACAGTCGACGAGGAAGACTGACAGAACGAAGAGGTCACGAAGAAACGCCGAATGCTTCCGAACTTGCCCGAGCGTTCTCCAACGACAGGCTTATCTCCTAAAGTTTGGTTTTGAAGGATTTACTTTACGGCTGGCGTGTCTTAAAAAAACTTAACCCTAAGTTTTCAAGTTGTCTGTTACGTTCGTAGTCCGTCCTGGATCAGTTCTTGTGATTTATTCGTAGCCGCCTTTTTGATATTCTTCTACATTAGCAAGTGCCCTTTTGATTTAGCTTTACTCAACGCAAAAAAGAGAAATTTGACTCTCATTAAGCTGTTTTGGCATCTGGGAATCTAACATGACATCGTATCTATGGGTGCGTTCCTTCGGGGTACGTGATCTGGATCAGGATCAGTGATCCAAGATCGCTTAGATCATGGTGCATCAAAGGAGCCGATGAATCCACTCTGGTCACAGATACATCGGTTCCTTTGATGCACCACGATAGGAGTGATCTTGGATCACTGATCCTTATCCAGATCACCCCATAGGAACGCACCCTATGTATAAGGGGATATTGTTGCAGTCATGATGGGGGGTAAGCTATAAGGTGTAATCTGCTGTGTCCATTTTCTAATGGATTCGTCTAATGGATTCGTCTAATGGATTCGATGATAGGAGCTAAATAGTTCAAATTTTAATGAACTGAGTTTATTGCTAGTATGAGAAGACGTGAAGCCTGATATTAAGTAAGACAAA